GTCTGACAGTGTGGAGACATGCAGCTGCCTGCAGTCTGGTCAGTAACACACTAACGTGAAGGGGAAACACACAAGGCAGAGAGCAAAGTTTGTCATCTCTTTCATACAGAGAGTGTGTGTGTGTGTGTGTGTGCGTGTGCGTGTGTGTGCGTGTGCACGCGCACGGAGCCCTTGCCTAAATGACCATTATGAAAGCAGGGAAGGTCAAAGCAAGACGGGCTATGTCTGCAGTCTGCTGGAATGCAACCAGGGAAAGATGGGAGGTAACTGTTTACATGCCTTTTATATGTGACATGGTGAGTTTTCAAGTGGGCTGCCATTAAAAAAAAACTGTTGAAGACACCGTCCCTCTGGGGTTTTTATAAAGTTTTAATAAAGAATATTCATAAGAGTGCAGTTGTTAGCCGTGGGTTACTTGGGAGTGCTTTGAATGAGGCCAGTTTGCCTTCTGAACACAGAAGTTAATCATCTTTCAATGGACATTTTTGTGCTGCTGCTGCTTATTTTACACTCATTCAACCCTATCGCATTTTCTCTCTGTGGAGTTCACATATTCCTAATGAGGTTTGAAACAGTTTGGTGGCTCTCAAAAATGAATTCAACAGTGTTTTGTCTTTCTTTCTCTCAGAGAGTATCAATGACACTCCTACAGAGACTAATGTGACTTTATGTGCAACTTTTCCTCTGTCCTTGTCCTCTCTCTCTCTCTCTCTCTCTCTCTCTCTTTGTGGCTGGCTTCTCCAGGCTTGTTGTTGTCTGCTGGGGCTGCTGCACTACTTTCTGTCCAAGAATGCTGCTGAGTGTCTTTTGGAGGGAGAAACCCTGAATCTCTGGGCTCTCTCCCGCTAAGCATAAACCAGGCATGCCCCCCCCCACATACAGTATATTTATATACACATGCTGTGTATACTCAGCAGAGCCGAGATGCTCCTTCGCAGCAAGAAGTGAAAATGAATTCAACTGGGAGAGCTTGTTGAAAAACGAGAGAAGAGAGGCTGTGCTTTTGCTCCCACCACCCCTCAGATGTTTTTTAAGCAAATACGCAATGAAAGTGTGTGCATCACTCAGTGAAATGACATTTTTCACAAACTGGAGACACTTGCCATTGCTTAAAGGAATGGTTCGACATTTTGAGAAATATGCTTACAGAGAGCGAAGTCGTGACCTAAAGTCCGGGCTAGCCTCTTTTCCACTGTGATGTGTTCTTGGGTCTTTCCATACTCTAAGATAAACTGGCATCTACTACAACAGAATCACCAACGTTTTACTTTGTGATACCAACTAACAAAGTTAACAGATTACTTACTGAGCAAGGAAAAAAAATATAAAAATTTACCAGCGTGGCTACTTTTGTGCCATCGTAACTCGGTTTTGTACATTTAAGTGAAATTCTAAAGTCATTTTTGCATTCAGTCCTCTCTGCCCTGCTGTTATTACACACGTCAGAACTCCCCGGCCCTCGACTCACCCATAGACTCACCCTTTCTGTGGAGCTGTGACATTTAGCCTGCAAAAGTCAAGGGCTTTTGTGAAACAGTGTTTGTTAAAGGCTGAAAAGCCCTCATAGCAGAAATATCAAATAAACAAAGATCTTACATACCTGAAGCACACCACACAGCGTACTGTTGAGAAAGGCTTGGTGCCAAGGCCGTATCTTTAGTTGTTAGCATTGTTTTAAATGTCACTGGGATTTCGAACAAGGTTCTCTTACTCTACTACTACTTTCTTTCACAGCTTCGCTTTCTTCCCAAGGGGTGCTGGGCTGTTTCTTGGTCAGTGACTACCGACAAAAAAACAAATAGGCAGATTTCCCAAAATGTTGAACTGTTGCTTTAAAGATATAATCAGCACGCTGTTAGCAGCTGTTTTATTCTCTCTTGGTGAGATTATTATCTCTCCAGTGCAGAAAATGTTTTTTCTGGCCATGAATGAGGAAATATGGGAAATGATCTGTGGAGTTGTTTGATGAATTTGTCTGCAGCGATGACAGCGTGTCTCCAAAACGTATCCACCAATGTGGACCACTTGCTGACTTTCGTTGCGTATGGAATTTACACCGACTTTTGCACCCAAACCAAACACCCTCGCTCACCTCTCCCCTTAAAAACAACTCAACCAAAGTGCACTTAAGACTTCCTGAACCCCTGAACCCCTGAACCCCACCCCTCCAAACACCAGCTCTGCTCACGTGCACTCTCAAAAGAAACATGCACGGACTCTGATGTCTGCAGCCAAAGGAAGCACTGACTCTCTCCCTCACCCTGCTCGCTGCCTCTGCTGCCCCCTGCTGGAGGAAAACTGTGAGCCGACATTGACATACCAACTCATTTATCTGATCCCTCTCTGTTTCTCTTCAGCTCGTGGTCGCACCAATCTGGAGTTGAGGGAGAAGTTCATCCTTCCTGAAGGAGCGTCTCAGGGTCTGGCTGCCTTCCGTTCCCGGGGACGACGCTCCAAACCGGGGTCCCGCAACGCTTCGCCAACCCGCTCCTCCTCCTCGGCCTCCCACAGCGGTGCCTCCCTCCCCTCTGCTCCTTCCGCCCCCGCCACACCGACAGCCTCCGCGTCATCGAGGGTAAGAGCTGACGTCAGTACTTTAAGATTTGAGGCAGGATCTAATTTTATTGACCTAAAAAGGAGTCAGATGTCTTAAATCAGTTATTTTAGATTTATTTTGTTCACCGTGCAAGAACTGTTTTTTTCCACTTCATATCCACTCATTACACTATATTAATGACAGGACAGGAAGAGTAGTAATGTGTGTGTGTGTGTGTGTATAAGCAGTTCTACAAAACACAACCAACCTTCAGTATATTGAACAGGATTAAAGGATAAGGTTTGAAATTTAGTACCAGCAATGATTTAAAGGAAAATCTAAAATTTGCATTGGTAAAACTTGCAGGTACCTTGGGTTCACACTGAGATAAAACACAGAAGACAACATGGTTACAGACAAAACCAGAAAGATTCAAGAAAATTAGTCACAACACACAGAACGCGATTGTGCAGATCATTTAAACAATCGATTTATCAAATTTATCATTTAGTCGCATTAAAGGAGAACTCCACCATTTTGACACATTAAAGTTTGTTTATAAGTCTTGAGCAGTGCTACTGCATATGTGAATAACAATTGTATAAAGCTTTTGTTGCTCCAGAGGGAGCTGTGTCAAGTTTAATAAAGTGAGTCAGTTCAGTCCATTTGTTTGAAAGTTTGAAACATGGCTGCTTGAGGCTCGAGGCTACATTAGCCACTACACACCCAAATCTCCGACTGAACTCTCTGTGGTTGAGTTGCATTGTGGGTAATGTAGATGGCAGGTTAGAAGGAAGAAGAATGTGTGGAACAAAAAATCCCATCATGAATCTGACAGTGTTAAAGAGTGCAATGCTAAATTGGTGGAATTCTCTTTTTATGGGAAAGAGTCTGTGCAGGCTCATAAAAGTCAAACTTAGTGTGGTTCGGTCTGTCCTAAATCATGAGAATGACACATTGCAGCTGAAAGTTGCTTTTTTTGTTCACCTGTCAAGATGAAAAAATACTATAGAATAAGAGCACACACATACACACAAACCTGAACAACCTCCTCTGTTACACCTGTTGAGGCTGTTATGTCAAATAGAAACATCGTCATTGTGAGGACAAACACTTCCAGTCCATTGTTATCAGTCAACCAGACTGGGTGTAGACAGTCAGTGTTGTTGTCTTCATCTGATGTTAGTGATGTTTTTCATTTGTCATCTGATTTCTGTGGAAAAGCATTACTGTCGATGTTTGTGTGAGAGAGTCTGACTGAATGCACATTGGTGACTTTGTGTGTGTGTGTGTGTGTGTGTGTGTGTGTTTATGGGTTTTGTTACACATTGTTCAGTTGTTGTCATCCTCCTGTTGTTGTTGTTGTCAACAATCACCACATCCTTAACTGTGAAATTTTATTTTTTGTTCTTGTTTCTTTGTTTTGTCTTTCATCTTTTTACCTTTTCCCCTCGTTCCTGTCATTCAAACCCTGCTAACCCGGCTTCAAAACTGTCCTCCCCGCATTGTTGGGTTGTTTGAAAAAAAATAAAAAATAAATAAAAATTAAATTATCTGCTCTTACACAAAAATACACTGCGCTGCACTTCCCCGCTATCCAACCACTCCTTTCCTCCCCTCCATAACTCCCTCCCTCCCTCCTCCTTTTGCTTTCTCTCTTTGGCTGCCTTGCTCTACTTCTCCTCCTCCCTTCCATCCTTCCTTGCTCCCTTCCCTTCCTCCCTCCAGTCCTCCTGCTTCCCCACCACCTCCTTCATGGTGATCGTATCTGTGAGATAAGCTGGGTGTCAGACACAAAATGTTCTCCAATTTCTCTGTGTCTGCTGCGGGTGAGAAATGGGCAGACTGAAAGATAAAGTCAAAGAAAGACGACGGGATGGAAGGGAGTAGGAAAAGAGTGGGGAAAAAATGGAGATCCAAACAGACAGGTAGAGGAGAAGACAGAGGCAGATATGAGACAAGCATATTGAGGAAAAAGACAGAAAGGCATTTATATTTTATACCGTTCGCCATCACTCATCCAGATCTGCATGTAATTGAGTTCAACAGTAAAAAAAGCCTAAAGGAATAGTTTGGGAAATACACTTATTTGCTTATATTGAGTTAAATAAGAAGATTAATACCATTCTTATTCTTGCTGGGTAAATATGAAGCTACAGTTGGCAGCGTGTTAACTTAGCTTAGCACAAAGACTTAAAACAGGGGCAAACAACTAACCTGGCTCTGTCCAATTTAATTCAATTCAATTCAATTTTATTAGTAAACCATCAAGTCATAACAGAAGTTATCTCAGGACACTCTTCAAATAGAGGAGGTCTAGACTCCTTATAAAATTATTTACAGAGACCTAACAGGTCCCACCATGAGCAAGCACTTGGCGACGGCGGCAACCTAGGATAGACCCCCGGCTCTAGGTGGGTGGTCATCTGCCTCGACCTTTGTTGGGGTGAGAGAGAGAGAGAAAGACAGAAGGACAGAGAAAACATATTTTCCAAAGTTAACTAAATCCACCTTCCAACACCGGCTGAGAAATAGTCTTTTAACTATTCATAAAATGGCACATTGTCATTTTTACACCTCAGTTTTTGGTACGAACTTAAAAACAAGTCAAT